CACTGATATGCCTTCTTGTTTACCTCAAGATTTGCATCTTCTCTGAAAGAAAAAAAAAAAAAAAAAGAATACATTGAATGTCTCTATTTTGAATAACTACTATTCATTTCTCCCGTATTTTGTATTATCCTGTAACCCTTACAGTTCTCTTGATTTTCTTCTATGTTCACTACCCTAATTCCATGAATTCAGCAGGAAATAGAGCCTTTGACTCTCTCGAGTTTCTCAGAAGGGCTACTCATATTTGCACTTCTCTTTCCCTTGTTGTTAATGAGGAGCTGAATCCTGCGAGAATGCTATACTCTTTGATATCTTGAGTGAGCTCTTAGACCTGTAACCAGTTAATATCTTTTTTTATAATTCCTATCAGTGCTCATGATATCTGTTCACATTGATTCTATTGAGTTCCAAAGTGCACACACCAGTGAAAGAACAGTGAGCTTTGTCAGAGGAGAGAGGTGGAGTCTATTTATTAAATAAAGGACATAGTAGAGGAAACAATCGGATGTTTTCATCTATGTTACTAAAGTGGAATTAGGAAACTGATTATTTAGACCTACAGATTTGTTCTTTAAAATACTCATTATTATATTAGATTATTACTATTCACAAGCTATTTGTTTTTATCATTTTTTCATATTTAATGGATGTCAAAGTAGAAATTTTGGTGAAAAGCACTTCAATGCTAATAAGACACAATTTTAAAAAGTTTAAAAATAAACTTTTGCATATTTTTAAAAAGTGAGTGATACATTTATGTGCATATTAATGGCCAGCTCTAGAGCATAAGGACTGATCAGAATATAACCTACACTGACTTTCATAACTCTAGTATGCTTTCTGTCCACTATATTCCACAGCTCTGCATTTCTGTGTGTCACATTTCTGATATGCTCTGGAATGTTATAGTAATTTAGATTGTTAGTTGTCTCAAAGCCTCTAGCTACAGATTCAAAACAGATTGCAATTTTTTTATATATTCACTTTCTATTCATCCTCACTTTTATGGATTTCTAATTATTAGACTTTCTGATTATTTTGTACAGCTAATGTGTTTTTGTTTATAACTTCAGAAATAGCAATAACAACAATAAAGCCCAAATGAAAAAGAAAAATTTTTAAACATGCCTTTTGCATAGAACATTTAATGATGTGTAATGCACTGCAAATATTCTTGGAAAAAAATAACTCTTTGTCTCACTTTTAATTAATTTTTAAAATAAATTGTCATATGAAGGTAAAGGGGTGTTTCTTAAAACATCTCATAGTCAAAGTTGCATAATAGAAATACTAAACTATTGAAATACAGAAAGATAACTATTTAATAAGTAAACATACAGTAGACTCAAATTTAGTCCATAGTAATAACTTTCATAAAATAAATAAGCAAAATTCCATTTTCCTCGGCCCAATCACTACATTACAGGTGTTTAGAGCCCTGTACAGACAGATCTTTGGAGAGAAGGACTGATTGGGCATTAGTAACATATGTGATTTACTAAAATCAGATTGGTAGGCATAATTGGGTGATAGACTTTAAAAATGTATATGACATAATCTGATGAATTTCATTTAATAAATGACATATATTAATGTGTAGACAATTTCCTGAAGCAAGTAACTGACTTGTTTTTGTGTGATATCATTACTGTGTATCATAGGGAAACAAACATGTCTTTAGTCTCAGAGATGCTTAAACAAAATAATAAGGTACAATTTTTGATTTCGCACATACTACTAAATTTTTACTCTACAATACAGAATACAAAATTTAAACCAAATACATGGAAAAGAATAATTTATTTATTAGACTTAAAAGCAAAAATAAAATTATTTTTGAGTCAGGCTTTCACAAATTAAAATTATTTTTCTCATTTCATTCTTTAAATAAATAAATAAATCATCTAATCTTTAAGGATAAATTAAAGAAGTAATGAAACGTGAATAATAATACTATGCTGGCTTTAAGCAAACAACAAGATAATAAAGCATTGAGTTCATGATATGACAGATATTTATCCATTCCCTACAAATTAAAATCTGTACTAGACATTATAAACACATATAAAAAGAAAGGTACTAATACTAATTCCTTGAGGTGCCTCAAATATTGCACAGAGACTGAAATGCTTATTTTAAGAGTACTTACTACGATACTATGTGTATTTTACATACATAAGATAGGTGTACACATCAAAGCACAGTTGAGCAGATGTGCTTTCAAATTAAACCATTCTTGGTTTATCACCACAAATACAGCTTTTCTTCCACTGGAATGAATATAAAGATATAAAATTCATCTTCCAAAAGCTGTAAGTTGGTAGAAATATTGTGGTATTATTTTCCTAATTAGAGTTTTCACATTAAATTACACAAAGAATGAAAACAGTTTTCTGCAGTTTTATTCTGCAAAATAATTATGCTGTACTTTGTTGTGTTGACTTTAATATGTCCTGTTGGAAAATAAAGTAAAATTTCACAATGCCAAAAATGAGAAAGGTGCAGTTAAATGGAATTAATTGCATTAATTTGAGCATATAGATATGTAATAAAACTTCACTTTGCATCAAAATGCAAGGAACTAAAAATCCTTTATATAGGGCTTGACTTCTGTGATAGTTTGCAACATAGATTAACTGTGAACTTCTATGAAATATTAGGAGCTAGGGGAATGGTACAGGTCATAGTAAGACAACACATATTCATTGCTTAAGGCTATGGTGTATGGCTTGCAAAAACTTTCCTTTGAGGATTGTATCTTGACTGTCTTGACTTTTTTCTAGCTAGCTTATACACACATCCACACATACATAGTAATGTTAATCTTTCACAGACAAAGTTTTTTTATATTTGGTTACAGATGTTCCTAAAATTTGATGTTTTGTGAACTTTCACTTTATTTGGAAACATATTTATAGTATAAAATTTAATACTGGAAGCAAAGTGAACCATTTAGATCATCTACAATATGGAGACAAAGAATTATGATTGAATTAATGCTTATTTTATATCACATTCAGATAATTTACAGATCATTATTTCCAAATGGATGGATTTGATGCACAGAAACTTTGTGTTACCAAAGAAATAATATGATTTGGCTTGATGGTCTTCAAAAACTTATAAAATACCTGTGCATACTAGCTTAATATTTATGACTCATAAATTATAAAATATTTATTTATTTGATCTGTGCAATTGAAACAGGGAAAAGTGAATGTTGCGCATATTTTGGCAACTAAATCTCCACACGTGTAAAGAATAACATATATGTTACTTCTCTTGCCTATCAATCTGCATGAAAACCCAGGGACAACTGCATGCATATCTATATGCAAAGGTTGTCTTACCAAAAGGAATGATGTTGTTTTAAACAGAATCTCACAAACTGGGTACATGTCAGCAAACAACGCTGGCAGAGAATTTAATTGTTCCTTTAAAAGATCTGGGAAGCTTTTGAGTAGGTGTAATTTATTGACTCAAGAATCACAAACACAGATGCTTTTGCTCATCGTAGCCTCCTTTGTATTCAACCTTGATTTGATGGTTCCTGGAACAAAACTAGTCCAAGTCAATTAAAAAGCAAATAAATAGTCTCAGTGGAGGGTAAATTGCCTTCTGTGTCTTCCTGAAGCAGTGTGCAGGAGGAAGATAGGATGTTGTCAGTCTGTTAAAATCAGAAAATTCATTCTTCTGCACTGCTGGTAGTAGTAGCAAAACTCTAACACTGAGCCATGTGTAAGGTCATCTGTCTATGTGGTGGCAAACCCTGAGGGACAGAAAAGCCATAGTACTTCCTGCAATACATTAATCTTGACTGTAAAATAACAGAGAGTGTTCCAAAAGGTTCATGATTTGACACTCATTGTTTGCAGCTTACTTCCAGAGCTTCTCCCTTTGTCATTCTGAATGATGCAATATGAGTATGACCCTGAGGCAAAGCCACCCATATCAGAGCAGTTCAGGACAGATAATTTATCCAGGTAGTCTCAGTAAAAACATATACTAATATGCCCACTTCAAATGTATTAATGCCACTAATTATTGCCACTTAATACTACACCTTCCTTGATACTTCTCAGCAGTTTTTAGTTGTAGAGAATTTTGTTTCTACTACACAGCAGAAAGATGAGCATCACAGTTGAGATAATGATAGGAAAGTAACAGGAGCATTAAATATGCAATTCCAGGGTCGGGGTGGGATTTAACTCAGCGCCCTAAGCGCCTGCTCGGCAAATGCAAGGTTATGAGTTTGACCCCCAGTATCAAAACAACAACAGCAAAAATAAAGAAATAGATATACAATTCCATTTAAATGTTACAAGTGTGTTTTCAAAATATATGTTTATTTTTCCATTTTTCATTGTGCAATTCAATAAAATAGTTTTTATAATGAATATTCTGACAGTTTTTATATAATTCACTACTGATATGCTGTTATTTGAAGCTACTCTCCAGTTATCTGAGCTATTCTGTTGATGGAAAATTCGAAGTTTTCCTTACTTTGGCTAAGAACTTCAAACAATATAGCCCTTTTTCATATGTAGGGTTCTCCATTCTGTCTCCTCTCTAAAGATAACACATACTCTGCCAGTCTGCTTTATTCCTAGAAAAATAGATAATACGTGTAATAATCGTTTTGTCTCTTCTCGGTATGTATGGATACAGCAGATATGAATTTGCAGGTAGTTCCACCTTCCCTTAGGAGGTTGTCCCTGATACATTTATAATTGAAGTAAGCATGAGAAGCAACGGATGAAATGATGAAGTGTTGACTACAGACTGTCTCACATTTGTGTACTGGAACAATCTAGCGAGTCATCAAGAAATCATTTTTTACAAACTCTACATACAAGGTTTTGAGAAACAAAACTGCACACACTCCTTTCAGTAAATGTGTTTATTCTTTCATCTGAACGTTTGCTTGCCTTATGACATATTCTCATCGTTTTTGGTGTGGAAGAAAGATTTCTGTCTTCATTGTCAAGAACACTTTCACTCTGTCCCGGAATCAAAGTCAGCACTTTTCTGAAGTTGTTGGTTTCAAAAAGGAACCTAAAGTGCTATCTTTCTAATGTCTGTTAGCCATTTCAGAACTTTAGAAATGTAATGGTCAATTCACTAAAAAGAAACAAGCCATCCTCTGGTGAGCCTGCCCTGGGGTTCTACGGCCCTTGGAGAGAACATCCACGAGCAGCTGCTTTGTATCTCTCTCTGCCACCGCAGGAACGTCAGATCAGAGGAGCCCAGGTGCCCAGGCCAATCCCGGCAGTCAGTGCAGGAAGCACCCAGGGCTCAGCAGCCAGCTAATTTGGAGGAGCATAGGAAAATGGCAAGGAAGCAAGGGAAATGAAGGAGCAGGGTGCAACCTCAGACCCCAGCCCACACACAACAAGTCCAGGAGACACAGACACAGAGGAAACTAGACATCAAGCACCTGAATCTCTGAAACGATAGCAACTGAAATAAAGAGACAACTTAGTGCTTATATGGTTTAATTAATTTTGCATGGCTATATCTCACCCAGAACAAGTCCAGGAGATGTAGTCATAAAGGAAATTAGAAGCCCATAGCTGAAATGTTATTGTTTTATTTTATTCTCTTTAAAATAAAAAAGGAACATTTTCACTCAGGAATGTGCTTTCTTTGATAACATGTTGAAAAGAATGGAGTAAAGTTTGGGATTTATTAGTTTTAATAATCAAATTGGCATGATTTTCTTTAAAGTCAATATGTACTAGATCAGGCAACTTCCAGTTTTTAGCCAGAAATAAACCAGTTCCAATAAAGAGCTTAGAATTCTCATCACAACTGACTACTTTTTGTGTGTAGCCTCAAAGTATCAAATAATACAAAAGTACCTGGTTGATGACAACAGCTACACAAAGATAGAAATGGTACTTCTAAAATACAGATTTTAAAAATAATGCAGACAAGGCTAGGGATTTAGCTCAGTGGTATAAGTACCTGCCTTGCAAGCTCACAACTGTAAGTTTGATCCTCCATATAAAATAGCAGATAATTGCAAAATAGTACCCACAAATGATTACCTTTAAGGTGCAATTCTTCAAGATTCTCATGCAATCAGCCTAGTATGGAAATACTACTAATTGTCACGTTCCTAACCTCTGAAGCGTTTAAAGCAGTAAACTGCCAGTTACTATGGCAAGATTTTTTCTCTATTTAGGTAGCTGAGCGTGGTAACTGATGAAAAAGTACTACTATTTCAAAGAGCCCTGGGAGATGGTTCTCAGGCAGCCCCTGCTGAGGGCTAGATGAGTCCCCTCAACTCGTAGTTCTCAGCAAACAGGAGGCACCCTGCTAAGGGTGGTTGTCCCGAGGCTCTTTGTGGTTATAGTTATGAATTATGATCCATCATTCTGGAAAACCCAGATCTGAGGCTATGTACAATGCCCCTGGGCTTGCAAATCATAGAAGATGAAGCATTGCAGAGGGGGAAGCTTGGCACAGTGGAAGTTGTCCCCAGCATTCTACTTTATGCCAACATTTCTAACTGTAGAACCATTAAAACATAAGTATGTTCAGCTGTACATGAAAAAGTAAAAAATATACCCAACCCTGTTGTATTCAAGCTTTGCTTTGGTTAGAAATTCTGAGTAACCTAAAATATTTTCACAAAATACCAATATGTAGACAATGCATTGGGTACTAAAGAATATTTGAACTTCTAGAAGTAATAAATAAATATACCACTCAGGAGAAAATTATAAATGATACAAATATAATATAAAAATAATAAGCATAATACAAATAAAGATTTAATCATTATAAATTTCTTTGGGATATTTCTAGAAAAAGAAAACCAACAACTAAAGCAATTGTCACATTTTAACTAAAACTAAGAAAATTGGATAAACACCAGAATAGAGCAGATAATCAATATAGTAAACATTTGCAGTGTTTTCAATCTAGCTAAAATTGAACACACTAAATGATTTTAGCATTTTCCATCTGAAAACATACACAGTTGGTACTAATTATATACTAACATGATTAATGGCCTATCTTGTGTAATTATTTATAAATTAAGCAATCCATTTTTAAGCCCCTAATTATTAGTGCAGTACAATTTTTATCAACACATAAAGCTTACATTACTTATACTCTGTGAAGCCCATAGAATCATACATAAATAGCCAGGTTGCCTACTCCACAGGAATAATGATCTTAAAAAAACAAAAAGAATGCATTTTCTGCTCAGAATTCCACTATGTATATGCTTCTATGCATATTGTATATTGCATTAGAAAATACAATTTAGATGCTCACAAACATCTTCAAGCATCATGAAAAAATAAGGCCAAGTTAATTAGTGAAGATTAAATGTTAAAGTGCAATTGTCAAAACTAAATTATGTAAATTTTACATAAATGCAAAATAATTAGTGCTTGCATTCTAACAGAGGAAGTCCAAGCATGAAGAAACTGAAACTTTATAATGAGCACTAAGCTTGCTCACATTTTTCTGTGGAGAAAGACTTTCTCCTGCCTGGAAAGTAAACACAGTGTGCCATTTGCTCCCTTTCTCTGAAAGGGGAAATAGCTCCGGGTATCGAAGCCATAAACTGATGAACCCTGTCACCTTAGGAACCATATTCCAATTTATCCAGGCAGTTCAGTAAACATCCAGGATAAGACAGAAGTCTGCCAATATTTTTGCTTACAAGACATCTAAAACCCTAAAAGATTTGAGTAAGAACTATCTACCCAAAATATTTGTGTATGTATATATATATATATATATATATATATATATATACACACACACACACACACACACTCATTCATTCATTCAAATACATACAATATAAGCAAACACAATTTCTGAGATTCAAAAATAAAAATAGGTACAAAGAAGCCAAAAATATTGGCACACTTTGCTATAACAAATTCACCTAAGATAAATTCTGAAAAATAATAAAATCTATAAAAATGTGTTAGTGGTAAAAACATATTGCAGCTGTGTTTTTCAGCTAGCAAAGGGAGCTCTACGCATTCAACAGTAAGGTGAGTTACATCACTTGTAAGAACATAAAATAAATCATTTTGGCTGGCATTGAAGGTAGGTGTGCATTTAATGAATGTCACAAAATACCAGCTATCCCCTAAACATCTATATCCCCATTTTGCAATTACAATATCTCCCAAAGAGTTTGTACTTCCCAGCCAGAGGGATCCTGACACTAAATTATAAGAGGTTAGGAATTTGCAGAAGGATATGTATGTAACTTTCCTCTTACATGCTTAGAAATAAATTTCTTGTTCAAGAACTCCCCTATTTCATCTTCCCATAAACAAAAACATGGATGGATGTGGATGACAATTAGTTTTCATTGGAGAACTAATAAACAGTAACTGAAGTAAATGCAGATCCCAAGAAGGAAGCATAGCATTTCATAGTGACAGTTTGGAAATATGAATGATCTGCCTTTCAGAGCTCCTTACGTTCTATTTTCTAACAAATATTTATCTTATTGAGATTTTTTTTTTTTTACTTTGGCTTCAAATGTTTACAGCAGCTTAATTTTATCCAATAAAGGTCGTTAGATAAAAGATAATATTCAGTATTATGTTCAAAGAATAATCTAAAAAATATAATAACTGACAGATTTCACAAAAGAATTGTGTTAAGCAAGGTTTCACTTGTGAGGTAAAATTGAATAAATATATATTGTCTTCCTTTTGTATTGAAAATTGTTTAAACACAGAAATAATGTTCTTGAAGTTAGAAAACAATTGAATATAACTTAAAACTTAGAAAAATAACAAATCTTAAAACTATGCTTTTAAAAACTTTATCGTAAGTGATGAAAATAATCAGTGATAAAAATGCAGTTAAGTAACTCTTAAAAAGAATAAAGAATACAATACATGGAAAGATGTCTTTTATCTTGGATACAATAGTAATATAACAAAAGAGACTTAGAATAGCAAAGACAATCCTGGGCAACAAAAGCAAAACAGGTGGCATCTCAATCTCTGACTTAAAATTATATTTCAAAGGTACTATAATAAAATTAGCATGGTACTGCCAAAATAAATAAATAAAACAGACCTATAGACCTGAGGACCAATGGAACAGTTTAGAAGGTGCAGACACAACTACAAACATACTCAGCCACCTTAATTTTGACAAAAGGGGCCAAACATGTTCACTGGAAGAAAGTTAGTATCTTCAATAAATGGTGCTGGAAAACATGGGTTTCCACATGCCAAAGATTAAAATTAAATCAATGTCTATCTCTATGCATTAAAGTCAAATGAATCAAGTATCTAAATATTAAAACCGAAACACTAAATCTACCGGAAGACAAAGTTGAAACTTTGAAGCCATAGGGGTAGGTGGAGATCACGAACAAAGACCAACTTGCATGGAAAGCTTTTCAAAGAATCAACAACTGGGATCTCATCCTATTAAAAAAAGTTTTTGAACATGAAAAGAAGTCATCAACAGAGTGAAAAGAAAAACTAGACTGGGAAAAAAACTTTAGCCAACTATCCTTCAGACAAAGCATCTTTAATTAGAACTTATGAAGAACTGAAAAAAAAAAAAAAAAAGGCTCCCAAATGCAAAGACACAATCCAAAAGTGGGCTCTGAGACGAATATACAGTTCTCCAATGAAGAAATACTAAGGGCATAAAAATATATTTTAAAAGTTCAGTAACACTGATATTTCAAGAAATGGAAATTAAAACAACATTGAGATTCCATCTCACCCCAAAAAGAATGGCTATCATCAAGAAATCAACCAATAACCAATGCTGATGGGACTTTGGGGAAAAAGAAATCCTTGTTCAGTGCTGGTGGGAGTATAGACTGGTGCAACCACTGTGGAAAACAATGTGAAATTTCCTCCAAAACTAGGATTGGCCATTCCATTTGTCCAAGCTATTCCTATTCTGGATATTTTCCCAAAAGAATTAAAACATCATATCATAGCAATATATGTGCACCCATGTTTATAGAAGCACAATTTGTAATAGCTAAATATTGAAAATAACCCAAATGATCATCAACTGAGGAACAGTTTAAAAACATGTTTTCCTATATAATGGAATACTACTCAGATATAAGGAATGAAAACTCAAGGCTTTTATGCGTATATGGATGCAACC